TTCGGGCCGGAGCAGAGTGCCAGGGACTCTGGGCTCAGAGCGCGGCCGGGAGCTGGCCCTGGCAGTCTCGGGCCGACGCGGGTCCTCCGCCTGCGAGCCCCGGAGTCGCGTTGGAGCGCGCTCTGCGCCTGGGGGTGCAGGGCCCGCGGGGGCTCCGCGAGTGCTGCTCGGAGCTTCGCCGGGCGGAGGCGGAGGGGCGGCTGGATTGCAGGCACCCCCTCTCGTGGCCGTTCGGCCTCGCTGCTCGGAAATAAACAAGTGCCCGCGGCCACTGCGAGGCCACTGGGCTCGGGCGGACCCGGAGCACAGCACGCCCAGGGCAGGCGAAACTTTCGTGCCCACTGGAGCCTCCCCGGGACCCGGCGCCTTTTGGAGCTTCCTTCCTGGAACAAGCCGCGGTCGGTCGGAGCTGGTCGCCCGGCCGGACTCTGCGCCCGCGCTGGGTCCTCTGTGTACCTCGCACTGGCACTGAGGGGCTTCCGCATCTCAGCCAGAGGCTTCTGAAGCCCTAGCCGGGCGGTGGCCCCACTCAGGGCTGGAGCGGTGGTGATGGCCACGCTCGCTCCACTCCTGCGGGCTGGCTTCCTGGTGTAAATGCGACTTCTCCCTTCACTTCTCCAAGCTGCCTCTGCTGGCAGCCTAAGGGGTGGAGGGTAGGGGGTGGGGGTCTTTCACTCACTCCAAGACCCCTCTGCCTCTCCCCTCCCCTGTCTTGCTTGGCACTCCCAGGCCCGCCAGCTAGCCAGCGAGCTCTGTGGACCAGGGGCTGGTGACGCCCTCTCCCTCGGAGGAGCCCCTCCCTGAATGGACTGGGGATGGCTCAAGGGTGGACAAGCTCTGGAGGAAGTGGGGGCGGAGGCGGACACCCCCACCCACCACCTCCTTAATCAGGCCACCTAGGTCCGCAGCTCCTGGTAGAGCTGGTCTCTTCCCAGCACCTGTCAGTAACTGACCCTTCTCCCCTGCCCCCGCCCCCAAGGGGATTTCCAAAGCCCCTAGCCCCACCTCATCCAAGGCAAGGAAAGGGTGAACTGTCTCCGCCCAGAGGCTGGTCCACACATCGCCCTCCCCTCCCCACCTCTTGTGGGGGAGCCCACAGTCCCCCCAGGTTTCATGGGCAGCACAGGGGCTCCAGCTGCTGCCTCCCCAACCCTTCTCTCCGCCCCTGCTGCCCAGTCAGTCTGCCTTGCATTGTCCGCTTCCACACCTCCTTCTGTTGAACCGGGAGAGAGGGAGGGAGGCAGTTTCCAGGCTGGGGCTCCACTCATATCCCCAGACCACAGGCAGAGAGACCTGCTGTGTCCAGTCTCCTGAGCACAGGCTAATGCCCCTCTCCCTGTTCTCAGGCCCACAGTGGGGATCTTACAGCCAGAAGGACTTGCAAGGCTGGATTCTCAGAAGACGGATACACAGCATTCGTCTCCCAGAATGTTCTGGAAGGAGAGAAGCTCCTCAAAGGTAGGAGGGGCGCGTGGGGGTGGGGTGTAGACAGCGTGTCCTTGGTGGAGATAAATGTTCTTCCGAAGGCGGAGGCCAGGCTTGTCTGCCCTCTGACCCCGTGCACTCCGGGGGGAAGTGTGGACCCGTGCTCCCTTGGTGCCCACAGGCTGACCTGAGGGCCCTTTGGCTCCACAGGTGCCAAAGGATTCCGAACCCGTATCCCTTGTGAGTAAGGCGGAGCCCTTCCGGGGCAACCAATTAGAATTCCGGTGTCACCTCACCCAAATAATGCGGAGGGAGACTGTCTCAGCAAGTGTTTCATGTCTGACGTTCTGGTCCCTGAGTTATTCCCGCTTGGAAGTGCCGGGGGAGCAGACGATGTTGCTGAGGACGCAGTCCGTCAGCCCGGGGACTCCGTTTGCCTGTGTGGCATGCGCCTTCTTGACAGCCCAGCGACAACAGGAGACACTCCTGCTGAAGGCTGCGCCCAGCTCCAGGGGCCCATGGCCACTTCTGTGACAGGGACCTGGGGATGGTATGGAATCCCGGCTGACCATGGGCCACCCCAGTACCCATCTCCTTTCGTCGCCAAAGGAGCCTGGGGCTAGTGATTTTCCCCAAAACTCTGTTCTGGGCTCTGCTAGCCCCTGTGACAGAGGAGGAGGGGGCTCCTGCCGGACGATGGTGTTTTCGTGTGTGTGTGTGTGTGTGTGTGTGTGTGTGTGTGTCTGTGCGCACACACATGGGGAGTGTGTGCGTGCTTGTGCATGAGCGTGGCCACAGCCCCCCTTAGAGGCTGATTGTGGGGAACTGAGCCCAGGGTCTTGGTCTTGCGTGGGCGCCCCCTCCCTCCCCTCCCTGTTTTCCTTGTTGCCGCTGGCGCGGTTTTGTGATATCGACTGGCTCATTGATCAGGCACACACACCCCACTCCAGGCAGTGAGCTGAGGAGCTGGTTGGAGAGGCACAGCGGGTGGCGTTTCTGAGAGGTGCTCCAGGTGTGGTCCAGTTACTCTACTCTCAGGGAGAGGGCTGGAGCGGCTGCCAGGTCTGAGGCTGCTGGGACCCTGCCCCCTTGGGCCGGGCTGGCAGTGGGTGTGCCCTGACCCTCTGCTCCTGCCCTGCCACAAGCCTCCCTGTGGCCAGAGGCAGGAGCAAAGCCTGGGAGTCTGGGTCAGTGGTGCCTCTGGGCGTCCAGGGGCAAGGCCCCCAGGCAGTCACCGAGGTGTCCAGGTGTTGCTGCTGCAAAGGCGGTGGACGCCTGCTGCTCGTGCGGCAGCCAGTGGGCTGGCAGGCATGCCTCTTGCCTGCAGGTCCAGCTCTGGGTCCCTGGGGGCGGATGGAGGCTTCTAGAGACGTCTTGTGGGCCGGCCTGCTGCTGGCCTGTTCCCTAGGCCTAGGCAGCCTCTCCGTGGGGACAGGGGTGAATTCAGACTGGCTTAGGAACCCTGCCCCCTTGACACCTGAGACTCAGACCACATTGCCAGCCTGCCCCAGGGGAGAGGGGGGGTGTCGCCAAGCCTTCTGAGGCCCAGCCCAGTCCACCACTGGGGCCGACTGGACAAATCCCTTCTGCAGGTCTGCCCTGCAACTATCCTCTGCTGACTCCCCTCCCCTCCTCCCGCTCCCTCCTCTTCCTCCCCTACAGCCTCTTCATATGTAGTACCTGTAGTAGAGGATACATTACAAAATATGTCGTTCTCACCCCCAAACCATGACCGTGGCACGCAGTGTCACTGGCCTCTGAAGCCAGAACCACTTCTTCATCACCCCAGCTCTGCACCCTGGCCCCCTGTGGCCACTGCTGAGCCTCGGTCCCTGGGCATTTGCCTAGTCTAGGTCTCTGTTCTCAGAGGGCAGTGCCCCGTACTGGCCCTTCCGCACCTGGCTTCGTCCCCTGGGCCAGCTGCTGTCGTCCTCAGCTGGGCTCAGAACTTCCCTTCCCTGCTGCTGGCGGCCACACGCTGGGCCTGCATGACCCCGCCTGCTGCTCCGCATTCGATGTCTCCACCTTTTGGCTGCTGTGGGCAGTACCGCAGCCAGCACCAGACCCACCCTCCGAGATGCCCTGCGCTCTGCGGACATGGAGAGTGGCCTGGCAGGGCCCCTTCTTCATCATCATCATCATCCTGCACTCAGTGCTTCCAGGACCCCCAGGCTACTTTACCGGTCCTTCCGAAGGTGTGGGCTTTCAGGATCCAAGAAGCCTTCCTTTGTCTTAGACACACACTTGACGTGTATGAAAAGGAACGTGTGTGGAAATTAGTGTCCAGCCAGGCCAGGGTAAAAAATCTCTTTTGGGGTGGGCAAGCTTTGGCCCTGCACAACAGTCGCCAGGTAGACCCTACCATATGGACTCGGATGTAAACGCCACCCCAGCCCCCCTGCCAGGACCCTGCTCTTGGGGAGGAATCCACTCTTGAGACAATGGTGACTTAAAAGTGAGTTATTCCCACAGAGGGACTCCACAGAGCCACCGGGTCACCCAGAGTGCCGCAAGCTGTCGCAGACGACGTTAGCTTCTTTGCCTGAGTCCCCCACCCCCCTGAAGACATCCCTACAGGCAGGACCCATGACATCACACTTACCTCGTTGGTGATACATGGATGTCAGACACGCACACCGTGCATTTGTGCCATGTCTGCGTGGGAGGCGCTTGCCTTCTGAAAGTCTCATGCTACTTCATCTCCAACAGGGCCACCAGCACATAGTCAGCCGAGGTTGGACCCTGGCCACCGTCTGAGCGGTGCCCATCAGCCTTGGAGGCCACATGCATCTAGGTCCCGGGAACTTGGTTTTCTGGACAATTGGAGCTCACACTTGATCACAGGGTGTGGTGATGTGGATAAAGTGAGGGGGGTGTCACTGATCATACAGGTGTGGTGATATGGATAAAGTGTGTCATGGAGATGTGGTGATGTGGATAAAGTGGGGGAGTCACAGATCATGGGGTGTGGTGATATGGATAAAGTGTGTGTGTGGGGGGTCACTGATCACAAGTGTGGTGATACGGATAAAGTGGGGGTGTCCCTGATCACGGGTGTGGTGATATGGATAAAGTGGGGGAGTCACTGATC